GCCGGGGCGGGCGATGGTGGGCTGTGCTCTGCCTGCGCATCCGCGGGTGCTGGGGTGCTGGGGTGCTGGGGTGCTGGGGTGCTGGGCAGACTGCTAGGGAGAACCGAGGGCGCTGAGAAACAAGGCGGGGTGAAATGCCCCCGCCTGTCCCCAGGACACAGAGCCGGGGGTGGTCCCTGTCAAGCTCCCCTCTGGTGGGGGGCAGCTCACTCACTTCCCAGCTTCAGTGACCCCAATACAAATAAAGGGCCGATGACCTCCAACCCTAACATGGCACCCTGTGTTCCCCTTTCCATTCCCTCTCCACACAGATGGAACGGCCTCCGCCTCGGGCATCTTTCTGGGCGCTGCGTGGGCATTAACCCCTCGCCCGCCTGGGCCTATGGGTGGCAGCATGTCACCCCCACCTCCACTTTATGATTGAGGAAGCAGAGGGAAGATGGGAACTCAGCAGCTGGCAGATCCGAACAGGGATCGAACCCAGTCTGCCTGGCTGCCAAGCCACCTCTCTAAAATCAACCCTTTTTTAGCCCTTTCTCATTTCAGGCATTTTACTAAGGCTTTTCCAAAAAGACTCAAGTCATTTGATTCTCGCAGTTTCTCCCTGAAAGACGATGCCCTGCTGTCTGCCTGTGTCCCTCCTCTCCCCCCCCTGCTGGGGCACTCTGCTCCCAGCTCTGCACACCCTCAGCGCGGGCCCCTGGGCCTCCGGGTGTGGTGTCTGGTGCTGGGTGACACAGCCTATCCCTTCGGTAGGCCAGCGGGAGAGTGTTTAGGTAGCAGGGGACATCTCCCCGCTCACCCACCTGGAGGCGGCTGGGGACCATTACTTCCCAGGCGTCATAGACAGGGAGAGAGAGGGTCAGCTGTTACTTGACTTTTCCAGGTCACATGACAAGTCAGTGACAAGTGGCCCCTTTCCTGAGCTGTCATGCTTTCTTTTTCCATTACATCGAATCTCTTCACTGTTATTTTTATAGCATTCTTCCTTCTTGTTTACAAAATTAATGCCAGAATATTTCCACTTAGAAAAATTTAAAAACACAACACTCTACAAGTATATATATGTACATATTATATATATGTTACGTATGATAGTGGGCTCTTTTTCAGTTATTTTTATTTTTTTAATTTATCTTTATTGTTGAAAGTGTTAC